TGTTGCTATGGCAACCTGAAATGCCTCTGTCTCTCTTGCTTGCTGCCATCACAATAAGTCAACGAGGTTTGTGGGATTGTAATGGAAAGCAGAGAGAACAATATATATCATCCAACAACAGTGGTTCGAGGTGCTGAGGGTCAAGTGGTGTATTTAACCACAAAATTGAGATCACTGAGACAGTTCAGCAAGGGTGAATGGTGTGTATTACATACTGAGAGGCAGAAGGATGATGTGCCAATCAGAAGGTTAAGAGCGAGGATGACCAAGAGTGACCACAAGAGACATTTCATCAGTGCTTTGGGGTATTGAACAACTAGTGCTCACATTAACAGCGTTTTTTACTTGGCCTGTGTAAAATATCTGGAAATGAATTCTTTACATTCAATTTTCTTATCTGTATGAATGTTAATCTAATGTTAAACTAATCAAAATAGTTAGATAGATTACTTTCTTAGTGATGTGTGGATTACTTGAAAACGGTAGTAATTACAAATTACACACTATCAGAAAATAAGGTTTACAACTGCTATCAGTGGGATGGTACCTGTACTTTAAAATACATACACTTTATACAAATTTGTAAATATAGAAAAATATAGGCCCCTGAGATACAAATACTGTAATTACGTTTTAAAAAAGGTCTCACTCCAGCAGTAAAGTAACAAATTACAAAACCTCAAACTACTTGAGAAGTTTTTCTCAGAAATTGTAATTCATAAGGTAGTTTGAGTACATTTTAGTACTCATTACTTTTGCTACACTACTTTCCATCAACCTGTCCTGCAGTCATTACTTTACTTTTTCCTGTCTATGGGGATTTATAAAAATTTGTCCTGTGATTCCTGTCCAATCAAATCGCACATAGAAAGTAAATCGCATCATAATGAACTACCTCAAAACATGGGCGATTTATAATTGCAGCAAACTGTTTGGAAGCATTAAAAGTGTCCAAGAAGATGCCCAAAACACGCATTGACCCAGAGACTGTTTAGATGCATGTCACTGATAAGAAGATGACAGATGTTTTCCTGCATGATGACCGAACAAGACGCCAACATAATGTCAGATTGACATTGTCCACCAACGTCAAGTGGATGTTGCATTTTGTTTGGAAATAAAAATTGGGTTGACAACAGAACCCAACATCAAGCCGCCATCAATGTCCAACGGCAAACCTAAAATCAACCAAATATCAACGTATAATGATGTTACAGCTTGACGTTGTGTGGACGTTACCACTATGATGTCTATCAGATGTTGGGTTTTAATTGCCATGTCTGACGAATAAATGTCAGTATTTGACATTGGTTTAAGATGTAACACAACCTAAAATCAACCAAATATCAACGTCATTTGACGTAGTTACTGAACATCAAAACATTGCGAATATACAAATCATTTGACACATTGTAGTTTTTTTTTAAGAAAGAAAAATTAAAAAGAGAAAAAGGACATCATTTAATGTCATTATGTGAATAATTTGTAAACATGTAAATTAAACAAGTAACCTTAATCTGATTATGAGAATTTTAGTACATAATCAAATTACAGCAAAGTATTACACTTAATCACAAACTACAGTGTCTACTACACAGATCTTATATTTGTGCATGTTTAGTAATTTTGGCATCCAAATTAATTTTTAAAAATACAACCTGCTACGCTAGTGGCCTGTTGCATAACAATGCATCGAATAAGTAGTTTGAGAAACTTTATATACCCTAAATCAGGGGTGCTCAATCCTGTTCCTGGAGATCTACCTTCCTGCAGATTTCAGTTGCTACCCATATCAAACACACCTGAACCAATTAATTAGGACCTGAACACCACATGATAATTACAGGCAGGTGTGTTTGATATGGATAGCAACTGAAATCTGCAGGAAGGTAGATCTCCAGGAACAGGATTGAGCACCCCTGCCCTAAATCAATGGTCCTAAACTCAATTCCTGGAGAGCATAAGCTCTGCATTGTTTAGCTCCAACCATCTCCAACTCACACCTGCTTAATAGTCTCTAGTAGTCTTGAACAGCTTGATTAGTTGGATCAGTTTTGTTTGATTAGGGTTGGAGCAAAACTGTGAAGAGCTGTGGTCCTCCAAAATTTGAGTTTGAGACCTATGCCCTAAATGCTGAATGATTATGGCAGGGGTGTCCAAACTCAGTCCTGGAGGGCCGGTGTCTGCAAAGTTTCGTTCCAACCCCAATTAGACACACCTGGGCTTGCTATTCAAGCCCTTACAAAGCTTTCTAGAAACATCCATGCAGGTGTGTTGAGGTGAAGTTGGAGCTAAAATCTGCAGGAAACTGGCTTTCCAGGACCAAGTTTGGGCACACCGGGATTATGTTGTTCTTGCACATTGACAAGCAAGATAAATGGATATTTTCCAAATATTCATATATATTTGTTCTCACCTTATCAATTTAGTCTGCTACAGTACAGTAACCTTCCACGGTACAATGACAGTATAATACATTAGTATATTGATAATCTGTTTCAATCTGAGTTACTGCATTTATGCACCCTAAAAATTTTAATGCAGTTTAATTTTTATGTAGTCTTAGTGTTCTGACACCTTTCAGCTGGAAGCGTCTTTATACCTGCAGTGAGTTATTCACAAGCTGCTTGTGCAGGTGTTAAACTTAATAAAGACGGTCGTCGCTGGCAAACCATGGGAGGTATTTTCAGGTTTGTTTCAAAGGAAAATCCACTTCATATAGCACTCTTTTTGCTCCACATGCTGTAATAAAGTATGTACCTTGAAAGGGAGTCAGAAAGTGATGCAAACGAGGACTATGCATGGCTACGAACCCATTCATTTTGCTATCCAGTTTGTAAATGGGACCACACACTACAGCATCAAATTTATCCCACATAAAAAAGTAAAAGAAATATGTTCAGAATTCAGCTTAAATCTAGCTCCCTCTGGGAAATGGGTTGGTTGGTTTTGACAGATGACAGAAAAAACAGATAACGTTATGTGACACATGATCCTCATGTTGTTATCTTCCACCGCTCCACGACAGACAAAGATTCATCAGTGAAAAAAAAAATAATAATGCTTCTTGAGCACAGCAGAAAAAGAGTTTGAAGTGTGGAATTAAAGGAACACCACTTTATTTTTGGGAATGGCTCATATAATAAGTCCCCTGTTGTTAAATCATTGTTTCTATTCAGTTTACATCCAGGTCTGGTGGGACCACTTTGAGTTTATTAAATCAAATAAGACCAGGGGAGTCCAAACTCGGTCCTGGAGGGCCAATGTCCTGCAAATTTTAGCTCAAACTTGCCTGAACACACCTGCAAGAATGATTCTAGAAGGTCTAGTAAAGCTGCGGTGCGGTCACACTAGAATTTGTGTGTGGGAAATTCTGTCGTACGGCTCTGCGAAAAGATATATTAGACATTAAAAAAGCGAGTGATTGCTCCATGTTTTAAATTTATGTCCAGAGAGGTCATGTTTTGAATCTCGATTGGTCTCACAAAGTCAAGTGATGCGATTTCTCAGGTCAGAGTTCACCAAGCTTGAACTTTGCACCACAGCAACCTGCGAAACTTGACCCTGCGATTCCGGTCTGACACATTCGCGTGCGTATGAATGGTATTCTATGGGAGGAAAAGCCCAGTGTGACTGCAGCTTAAGAGCTTGATTAGCTAGCCCAGGTGTGTTTGATTTGGGTTGAAACCAAAACCAAGACCAAGTTTGAATACCCATGGAATAGACCATTGTTTTAAAATGACCAAATAGTTAATTTCCCTATATATTAAAACTGGACATACCTATAAATACACCAAGTACTAAGACTTACGGAAAATTATGTAGCATTTTTCTAGTTTTTTTGCTCATTCTGGCAAAACAATCAAGGAACTTTGTTGTAGCAAGCAGAAACAATGCTATTATGCAGAGCCTAAAAAATTAAATTGGTACAATTGATTTTTTATTTCTATACTGCTTTTTACAATGTAGATTGCCAAATCAACCTAACATAAATCGATAATAAAAAGAGTTACAGCCAAAATATTTTACATTGTGCAATATTCCAGAATATCAGGCAGGCAGGTATTGTAGAATGCAGTTGTAGTTTTAGTAAATTGAAACTACTTCAGCTCAGTTGTGTATAAATGTCACCAATGAAGTTCAATTCAGTTTTGTTTTGATCAGTGCAAATGACACTGTTGAAGGCCGACCAACCGGAAACAAGCCAGTGGCAGGAACAAACTTCATCGTTTGACGAAAGTAAAGGAAAAAACCTTAAAGCAGAACCAAAAAAGTAGCCAACTAGGTAACTAGCTAACAGCACTGCATAATATCATTGCGCTTGCTGCAGCCAAGATTAAGCAAAGTTCATTGATTATTATGACAGATTAAGAGTAGAGCTAGTTCCTTGACACATCGACCAAGAAAACAGCTTTTAATTTTTATTGGCCTTAGTACATGACTACAGAATATTTAAGCTCTAAATGAGAAAATAAACGAAACCTTTTTTTTAATTTCTGAATGAGATGCTTATGGTTTAATCTGGCTGAATGCTTAGCTAAACAAAAGTGATCCTGCCAGACCCGTAATTTGGCTGAATAGATTCATAAATGTTAAAACCCAAAAGCTTAGCTCTAGAGGACTTGCAAAATTAGCCTATTTCCAAAAAAAGTGCTTCTTTATTATACTGAAAATATTATGCTGTAACGTTAATTAGTGCATTACTAAACTAGCTGTAGCCCAGTGCTAGGGGATGGTAAACAAACAAACAAGATATCATAATAAAAACCGCAGTTCAATACTATAATGCAATAGTGTTATCTTCCTCAATACAGCCCACCTTAACGTGAAGGTTTGACAAAACTCACAATGAAATTGAATTTCCTCCTTGGTCTCCCGGTTAGGCTAATAAAACGACTTCTTCACCCGCCGGAGGGCGCTGTTGTTCCCGCTGCTTCAGCAACGCGCTTCTTCGCAGCCTTGTGCCTTATGACAGCAGGCAACCAGGAAAAGGATTGACGAATGTGTTGTTGTTTTGAGCCCAAACGGGTAAGATTATGAATGTGTAGCATAATCGTGAAAAAATGTAAGCTCTTCAAGATTGTGCAGATGTATCTTATAGATGAAAAAAGCCACGTTGTAGCGAATATAGCATTAGCTCGCTGTATGTTCAGAGACACAATCTCTGTGACAGCTAACATATTTTGACACCTCTGACCAATTGTGATGTACAAAAATACTATATTATTGTATAAATAATAATAAATGTTATTTCTAAAAGCCAAAATGTGGCAGGGAAATGAGCAATGCAATTGAATGATGTATTATATCCTGGTTAACATGTCACACTCGATTTATTATCAGAGACATGCAGCTTTGTGACAGTTTGACATATCCTGAGGTAGAAAAGCTTGTGTATTTTTAAAAACAGAAACATACTTTAAAGTCAAAATGTGGGAATGAAATTAGCAATTCAGTTTTATTATTTTTTAGTATTATAGGCTGGTTAACATGTCACGCCACTGTTTTCACTTTCTATCTACTGTATTTTCTCTTCCTCTAACAGATTGCATTGGTGCAATGCAGCAGCAGATGGATGTTGCAATCTGTTTGTCCCCACTGACTTCTGCTTTGTGAGCCTGACGGTCTATAGGTTTGTATAAGCCCCTATCATGTCTTCAGCCTGTCCTCCACAATCTCCAGCCGTGGCCAAGACTGAAGTTCTGGTTGACGACTGTTGTCCTGTTCTGGCTGCGACCTTCGCTTACTGGGACAACATCCTCGGACCTCGTGTCCGGCACATCTGGGCACCGAAAAGCCAAGGGTTGCTGCTGCTCAGTGACGGAGAGGTCACATTTCTGGCCAATCACACGCTGAACGGTGAGATTTTGCGCAGCGCAGAGAGCGGCGCGGTGGATGTCAAGTTCTTCGTCTTGGCTGAAAAGGGAGTCATCATCGTCTCTCTGATATTTGACGGAGAACTCAAGGGTGATAAGAACACTTGCGCGCTGTCAATCATCTTGCCGCAGTCAGAGCTTAGCTTCTACCTGCCTCTGCACGCCGTATGTGTGGAGAGACTCAAACATGTCATCCGCAAGGGACGCATCTGCATGCAGAAGGTCTTTGCTTGGGTATCTTCCACTCCTAATATGGCTGTTTGTTTGGTATATTTGTCTATAATGTTTGTGTTTTTCTTCTAGGGTTACAACATAATCTCTATGTTGTCATCCGAGATTGTTCCTATAATGGAGCTTCTCACTTCTATGAAGAAACACAGTGTGCCAGAGGAGGTTGATGTGAGTGTTTGGACATTGTTGTAATGTGCATGTGCTGTTATGTGTGTTCACCGTGAGAGTTTAGAGTAGATGGAAAATGAGCTGGACTTGTGTTTCCATTCATTCATTTACTCATTTTCCTTTGGTTTAGTCCCTTTATTCATCAGTGGTTGTCACAGCGGAATGAACCAACAACTTTTCCAGCATATGTTTGGCACAGCAGATGCCCTTTCAGCTGCAACTCAGTACTGGGAAACATTCATGCACTTTCATTCACACACACACTATGGCCAGTTTCACCTATAGCGCATGTCTTTGGACTGTGGGGTAAACTGGAGGTAACCCACGCCAACATGGGGAGAATATGCAAACTCAGAAATGCAATCTGGCCCAGCTGGGAGTCGGACGAGCAACCTTCTTGCTGTGAGGTGACAATGCTCACCACTGAGCCACTGTGTTGCCTTGTGTTTCCGTAATTATACTAAAGTTAAATAGAATAATACAAATAAAAACACTAGATATAAATAATAAATAAATGTAATTAATAACACAATGATAAGGATTTTAAATAAATACAATTATTAAACCAATGCCTTTGTTTTGCCAAACAAAGCAGAAATAAAATAATAATACAGTTCTATTCTATTAAATGCTTAATATTTTTCAAAAAATTAATTGCGTTAAAATATATTTTTCATAATATCAACAATGCTGTAAAAGATACTCTCAAAGTTGTAAAAAAAGCTCTCTCTCTCTCTCTCTCTCTCTCTCTCTCTCTCTTTCTCTCTCTCTCTCTCTCTCTCTCTCTCTCTCTCTCTCTCTCTATATATATATATATATATATATATATATATATATATATATATATTAGTTGAAGTCAGAATTATTAAACCACTTGTTTATTTTTATCCCCAATTTCTGTGTAACGGATAGAAGATTTCTTCAACACATTTCTAAACATAATAGTTTTAATAAATAATTTCTAATAACTGATTTATTTTATATTTGCCATGACGACAGTATATAATATTTTACTAAATATTTTTCGAGACACTTCTGTACAGCTTAAAGTGACATTTAAAGACCTTATTAGGTTATTTAGGTTAACTAGGCAGGTTATGGTATTCAGGCAAGATATTGTATAACAGTGGTTTGTTCTGTAGAGAAATCAAGAAAAAATATAGCTTATAGGGGCTAATAATTTTGTCCTTAAAATGTTATCAAATCAATTATCTTAAATGAGAATTCATCAATATAGAATTAAATTTTTTTTTTATTAAATACTCATAAATAATATTGAGCAAGGTGACATGCTGGATCAGTAGTTAACACTGTCGCCTCACAGCAAGAAGATCACTGGTTCGAGTCCCGGCTGGGCTAGTTTGGCCAGTTTGCATGTTCTCCTTATGTTGGAGTGGGTTTTCTCTGGGTGCTCCGGTTTCCCCCACAGTCTAAAGACATGCGCTATAGGTGAATTGAATAAACTAAATGTATGGGTGTGTGTGTGTGTGAGAATGAATGCGTATGGCTGTTTCCCAGTACTGGGTTGTGACCTCTTAAATAGAGACTAAGCCGAAGGAAAATGAATAAATGAATAATACAAATTAAAACAATGGTTATTAACAATAAATAAATGTAATTAATGACACAACGGTAAGAATAAATACAATTATTGAAGCAAATTACTTTGTTTTGCAAGACAAAGCAGAAATGAAATAATAATACAGTACTATTTTATTAAATGCTTAATATTATTTTAATAAAGTGTTAAAATATAATATATCTATCATAATTTCAGTAATGCTGTTAAAAGGTACCCTCAAAGCTGTAAATAAAAAAGTCAATTTTGAAATTAGAAAAAAATTTTTTAAATTCATAGAAGAGATGTATTAAAATATAATGATTTATTATAATGTATTTGACAGTTGAGATAAAAATTGGAATGCGTAAAACAGGATGCGTAAATCAGTTTTTTTTTCCAGAAGATACAATATCTAACCCTCATTTACAATGATGTATGAAATAAAAAAATAAGAAAATTAAAGTACTAGAACATGTTGTTATTATTAATACAATAATAGATCTAAAAAATATTTGTCATGCCATTGACTCTTTAATATTTCTCATAGTAAAGTCTATTTGAATTAATACACATACAAAAAACAGACACATATATAATGTTAAAATATAATGAATCATAATCAATTATCTTTATAATATAAAATTCATCAAAAGACAATTTAAACATTATTTTATTGAATACTCATAAGTAACATTGCGCATCTTGAATAATCAAAAGCATAACCGTTGTCACAACCATTGTCAAAACTGAATGTTTTAAATGTGTTTTTCTCACTTTCACTGAACCACATAACAAAACAATTTCCCTTATTACAGCTAAAGGACACTGTGCTCAACGACGATGATATTGGAGACAGCTGTCATGAAGACTTTTTGCACAAGTAAGACATATTGCATCTTTAGCAGAAGTCAATGATCTGAAATGAGTTTTGTTTTCACTGTTTAGCTCCTGATTTTTATCATCTTTCTCTATTGCAGGGCCATCAGCTCTCATCTTCAGACTTGCGGCTGTTCCATGGTGGTTGGCAGCAATCCTGAGAAAGTCAATAAGGTGCACATTCCTACCCCGACATTCTTAACATTCACACCCGAGTATGTTAAGTAGAATTAACATGTTTTATTTTGTAGATTGTTCTCACGCTGTGCCTCTTCCTCACTCCTGCGGAGAGAAAGTGCTCTAGACTGTGTCATCCAGACGGCTCCTTTAAATATGACACCGGCCTGTTTGTGCAGGGCCTCCTTAAGGTATTCACAGTGTCTATCATGACTACTGAGTGAAAATATTACTAGACAAGGGTGAGGTTGAAAATATACTTGAGTAAAAGTAAAAAAGCATTGATGTAAATTGTACTTAAAGAGTTAATTCACACAAAAGTCATTATTTACTCTCCCTCAAGTGGGACCTTTTGACCTTTATGAGTTTTTTTTTCTGTCGAGCACAGTAATATTTTTAAGAAAGCTGGAAACCGGTGACCATTTACATCCATAGCAGGAACAAATATGGAAGTCATTGGTTACAGCTTTACAGCTTTCTACAAAATACAGTGTATTTGTTGAACAGAAGAAAAAAACTCATATAAGTAACATTTGAAGGGTGAGGAAATGATGACAGAATGTTTATTTTTTGGGTGAAGTATCCCTATAAACTTAAAAAAGTAAATGTAGCCTCACAAAAATAAAAACGAGAGAGAGAATTCTTGTTTCATCATGTTGACTCATTTTCTACAGCAAAGTAAAAGGAATATCCAAGTAATTTATCGTACAAAGGTTTAGTTAAAGCAGGAAACAAACACTACAGAAAAGGTCCAAATCATCTTTAAAGTGCAAACAACAACAATTAAAATGGAGATTAATAAATACATAAATATATATAAATAAATTTATATTAATATTTATATTATATTAATTTATTATAAATAAATAAATAGCCTTTAAAAAATACTCTGTTTTTTTTCATCGATGGATAAGTCGATATTTAATAATAAATTATTACAATATTAAAAATAATTATAATTATAAAGCTGCCACCAGCAATTAAGGGGCCAAGCAATTAACAGCCAGAATGAGTGAAGCAGTCCAGAGGCCAAAAGCAACAAGATTAGTAAGCAGCATCAAAGTGAAACAGTGAGTTTTCATCTTTCATCTTCCGACTCTGCATGCTCTGCTTAATGTCAAGAGACCAATTTTATAAATTTTGGCCAAAGGGTTGAGAAGATATGAGCAAAAAGAAAGCAATTTTTATATCTCCGGACCCCTAGGGGGCAGTGCACCTAAATGCTGCAGATAACCTCAGAACATAGTTGTCATAACACACTAGGTTTGGTGTGAATGCGTCAATGCATTACGGAAATATCACTTCAAGTCCATTTCTGCAAAATATGTTAGATTTGTTCGCAAGTTAAACAAAAACAGTTCATCGAATCAACATGAATTCCATGACTTTTGGTCAGTATGGCCTGAGGTCATGTTATTAAATTTTGGTGAAAATCAGATAAATGGCCTGGGATGAGTTTGATAAAACAGGTTTTGCGAAAAAAAAAAAAAAATCATGACGTAAAATGTTGTCATAGAGTGCGTTTGGTTGTATGGGCTGCCATTGAAATTTGGAAGAAGAATTGGAAGAAGAGTACAATAGGTGCCTCCGCACCTGTGGTGCTTGACCCCTAATAAGCATGGTTTAACGTAACATAACTAAATTAGCATCCCTGTAAAATGTACTTTAGATCCTTTTTTGAATCAAAAGCATAACCATTGTCACAACCATTGTTGAAACTGAATGTTTTAAATGTTTTTTTTTTTTTCACTTTCATTGAATCACATAATAAAATTTCCATCGTTTCTCTCATTCCCTCTTGGTTTACTACCAATTTAAAATAAAATGTGTATTTAGACCCTTTTTGGAGATTTGTAACATTTCATAAAAACATGTTGAAAAATCAAGCAAATATTAGTTGTATTTGAGCAGTGTTAAAGGGATAGTTCACACAAAAATGAAAATTCAGTCATCGTTTACTCTCTCTTCACTTGTTTTAAATGTGTTTGAGTTTCTTAATCCTGTTAAACACAAAAGAAGAATTTTTTGAAGAAAGATGAAAACATGTAACCAATGACTTGCCTAGTATTTGTTTTTCCTACTATGGAAGTCAATGGTTACAGGTTTTCAGCATTCTTCAAGATATCTTTTTTAGTGTTTACAGGAATAAGAATTTATAAATGTTTGGAACCACTTGAGAGTGAGTAAATAGTAAGTAAAATTCATTTTGGGGTGAACTATCCCTTTAACTGTAAATCTAATTCTCATAACTACAACAAACCTTTTATTTGGGCTCAATGTTATGCATTCTGCCAATACACTAAACCAGGGGTGTCCAAACTCAGTCCTGGAATGCCAGTGTACTGTTGAGTTCAGCTTCAACACGTCTACCAGAAAGTTTGTTGTATATCTAATTAGAGCTTGATTATCTGGTTCAGGTTTGGTTAATTAGGGTTGGAGCTAAACTCTCCAGGACACCGAGTTTGGGCACCCCTCAACTAAACAGACAAAATATGGATATATGTATTAATATTATAATACTGCAAGATTGAATATAAACATCTGAAAACATGGCACTTTTTTATACAAAGCTCTAAAATTTGAATGAGGAAGTACAGTTATTAGTAGTTTAAATATTAAAACAAAACCGATGCTTTACTCAAACACATAACAATAAATTACTTAAAACACGTAACAATAAATAATAAATTCAGAGAAACAGCAGATTTACAAATGATCTCTATTTTTTTTTCCATAGCTGTATAACACGGTTATGGTTCTTCACTTCACACACTTCTGATTGCCTATTAATATATTTAAATGGATATAGCTAATGAATATAAACATTTGAAAACATGGCACTTTTTTATACAAAGCTCTAAAATTTGAATGAGGTAGTACAGTTATCAGTAGTTTAAATATTAAAACAAAATCTATGCTTTACTCAAACACGTAACAATAAATTACTCAAACACGTAACAATAAATCATAAATTCAGAGAAACAGCAAATTTCCAAATGGTCTCTATTTTTTTTCCATAGCTGTAACCCAGTTATTGTTCTTCACTTCACACACTTTTGATTGCCTTTTCATCATATTTAAAGGGACTATCATCATTTACTCATCCTTCACAAACCTGTTTGAGTTTATTTCTTTTGATGAAAAATGCTGAAAACCTGTAACCATTGACTTTTCTATGGTGTTTGTTTTTCTATGGAAGTTAATGGTTACAAATTTCAAACATTTTTCTAAATAACTTATTTTGTGTCCAACAGAGGAAAGAAACTAAAAAAGCTTTATAACCACTTGAAGTAGAGTAAATAGTGAGTAATTTTTCAGTTTTGGTTGAACTATCCCTTTAATGTACAAAGGATGGAAGTAATTTTTGTAAATTATAATGGGTAAAAAAAAAAAACTATTTCTTCTTTATAAAAATATGAGTAAAGGTACAAGTAATTGATTTGAATTGCAATTGACTAAAGTTCAAACCCGGCAAAATGATCCTTAAGTACATTAATCAAGTAAAATTACTCAAGTATTTTACACCTCTGCCTGTTTATACAGCATAGTCTGTGATAAATGAGTTGGAATCATAATCATCAAGGACTCCTGGGGATTCCTGGATACTCCAGAGAGTTTTGTAATGAAGTGTGTTCTCTTTTCTGTCCCAGGACTCCACCGGCAGTTTTGTGTTTCCCTACCGGCAGGTGCTCTACTCGCCATATCCCACCACCCACATCGACGTGGACATTAACACAGTGAAGCAGATGCCACCCTGCCACGAGCACACGTATCATCAGCGGCGCTACATGCGTGCGGAGCTCAGTGCCCTCTGGAAGGCGGCCAGCGAGGATGACTTCAGTTCAGACAACCTCATCAATGCCCAGGACTCCTACACACCAGACCTGTACGACCTTTAACCTCTACTTATCTACTGCCGATTGGCTGACTCTTTCTGTCCAGATTACAAGCTCTTGCAGTATTATAGTTAAATACAGAGAATTTTCTAAATATATGAATGAGGCACACTTAGTGGGTTATTAATGCAAAGCAAATGAGTGCTATTTCATTTCAAGGATTTTTATTTGTGATAATAACCTAGTGATTGTACATAAAGTTGATTTATTATATGATTAGTTTATAAGGTCTTAAAGAGATAAGATGTGAAAGAAAGAGGTCATAGAGAGATATAAGATGTATAAACTAGCACAATGTTGAAATGGACTGAGTGGAGTGTGCTGCGACTGACCAATCAGACTCAGGTGTTTCTGAATAAATCAGAGAAGACCTGTTTGTTTAATCGTTTACAGTTAGGTTTAATTACTTCCAATAAATAGGCTGCCCAAACTTTTCCTTATGAAGGGCCAAAATTCAAACTTGATTGAGGGTAGTAGGCAGACCAAAATATACCAAAGTGAAATTAAAGTTGCCATAGTAACTGCCTAATTTAATAATATTTATAAGATTATTAATATTTTATTAATAATAATAACATTATTAATATAAATATATAGATTTTTTAAAATTGAAATAATAATTATATATATTTTACATTTTATAATGGGTTATATGCACACAGACTTTTAATTTTCAGCCAGATAGCCAAAGGGTTTCCGGTGAACTGTCTTTTCATTACAAAATTGTCATGTTTAAGGTCTGATTTCTTTTAAAATGTGTGATATTTCACTGCCTGATAGATATAGGATATAAAGTGGGTGTCAGATCAGACAAGAAGCACTACGTTTAATTTTATATTCCCCCCACCATGTCTTTAAAATATGACAGTTTATTTTACCCCAGTATTTTCAACGGGATTTCTGCGCTAGTCTGTTGCTACTGACTGAGCTAGTGGTTACAATGGTCTTTCATCTTGTTTTACGCTTGAACAACTAAATGAACACTTATATCTATTTAAATGAATGTATTCTAATTGCATCACAACATAGATGCTGTAAAACAACCTTGTGACATTGAAAATACTCACATTAAGCTTTCACCGGAGGTTTATCATTGGCTATAAAACTTTAGCTGTGCATAGAGCCTGTTACTTCTTACAATATAACCATGACCAATCTCAGTTAAAACACAATAGAGTTCAATTTTTTATATATTTATATTAAAAAATAATACATTTTCACTCGATATGAAATATGTCCCAAATGTGTTTTTAACAACGTGCCACATAAATAGTAAAATGAAAACAAAACAAAGGGTTTTCATTACCCTTTAAAATATTTGGGTAATTCACATTTAATTGAACACTTAATTTCAGTATTTTTGTTGCTCAGCAATTAAACAAACAAACTAAATGTTTTTAAAATTATAAATGACGATCTCCGTTTGAGGGATTAATTTGTCCATCTCTTCTCTGAGTGGTTGGCGGGCCAATTCAAAGGCTACCATAAGCGGGACCTAGATTAGGCATCTCTGCTCTACACAAATATACACCTGCCCTGCTACTGTTGCTAGGCAACTGTTTTACTTCAGTACTGAGCCAAAGAAATTGCTTATTTGCTTAGTTTCATTTTGTTAAAAGTTTTGATATTTATTAAACAAAAAAACATATATACAGTAAAGTCAGAATTATTAGCCCTCCCTCCACCTTTTTTTTCTTTTCTTTTAAATATTTCCCAAATGATGTTTAACAGAGCAAGGAAATTTTAACACGTAGGTCTGATAATATATATATATATATATATATATATATATATATATATAAATAAATATATATATATATATATATATATATATATATATATATATATATATATATATATATATATTTATTTATTTTTTTTTTTTATGAGAAAGTCTTATTTTTTTATTTTGGCTAGAATAAAAGCAGTTTGAATTTTAACACCATTTTAAGGTCAAAATTATTAGCCCTTTTAGGCTACATTTTTTTTGATGGTCTACAGAACAAACCATCGTTATACAATAACTTGCCTAATCACCCTAACCTGCCTTGTTAACCTTATTAACCTAGTTAAGCCTTTAAATGTCATTTTAAGCTGTATAGAAGTGTCTTGAAAAATATCTAGTAAAATATTATTTACTGTCATCACATCTTACTGTCATCTTTACTGGCAAAGATAAAATAAATCAGTTATTAAAACATTTGCCTTTAGAAATGTGTTGAATAAATCCTCTCTCCGTTAAACAGAAATTGGGAAAAATAGGGAAAAAATAAACGGGGGGCTAATAATTCTGACTTCAACTGGATATAATTTTATGTCAAAACTAAATTTTTTAAATGCTTACCTCCATAGTTAACTGTAATTCAATTTAATTAGTTCACTTAATAATATATTGTTTAAAAGATTGGGTTAAGTAAGGCATTTTTTAATATATATTTAAGGGGTTTATTTGTCATTTATGCATTAAATTGCTCAAGAATGACATTAACGATATTTACAGTTTAATAGAAGATTTTAAATAAATGTTGTAAATGAAAGAATCCTCAAAAAAAAGTTTTCAACTAAAATATCAAACTTTTTCAACATACAAATCATTGGATTACATTGATTTCTGAAGGATCACGTGAAACTGCAGTGAAAACTGCAGTGATGATGCTGAAAACTGAGCTGTAATGTTATCACAGATACACATTTTATATGTGTTAAAACACATATTAAAATAAAAAAAATCATTTTAAATTAGTATTAGGGATTTCTTGTCATGGTGATCCACTGATACACACTACCAATTTTGATGTTTTAAGCTTTATAATGCATAAAGCACATTTTCCCTCTAAGTATGACACAGATCTCTCCTTACCGAGGACAATAAATAAAGCATGCTGCATATACTGAAATCCTTTAAACACGTTTTTTATAGCGATTTAAGTGTGAACATGTCATGGTCAGAAGAAAAAGTTACATAGCAAAGATTACAAAAACTGGTAAGAAAAATGACTAACAATGCATTCTGGAAACACTGCAAATGATGGGGGAAGAATTCAACATGTCTCAATCAAGAGAAAGTTTGGAGTGCAGGTTAAAATGCACACCTATAAATCCATTACTTCTTTACTAAAAAGAAAATAGGTCTATAAACTACAGTTTATTGCAATAAAGATATAAAAAGACGTTATATTATTAAATTTTCATGTCAAAAATATAATTTTTACGTTTTTTGTTATGTATCTAATATTTTCAGCCAGATTTTAGTACTTAACAGTAATAATAAACTTACAATATTGCCCAAAACACAAAACTCTCAGTTCTTTTATGTAAAAGGGCCTAAATACATGCAAGGTCATTTAAATATTTTACTCCTCTCCAACTAACACTTGTGACCGGTTCATGAGATTGGCCAGACCAGTGAGTACCGATCGAGCCATTAAATGTGATTATCAGCCGATACTGGTCTCCTGCTGATCGATCAAAACATCCCTAATTTGTATATTTTTTTTAATAAATACAGTCTTTCAAATGATGCAGCCTTGATTAAACTTAGAAAATCTTACTTAGTACAAACCTTTTGATCAATTGTGTGTAAATATAAGTTCTGACTTGAAATGTTTGAAATATTAATATGTCAAAGGGATTGATCAATAAAAGTGCAATATAGCTTTCATTTGTTTCTATTAGCAAAAACGATGACTATTATACTTCACTGAGTGAAGAAATTAGCTTTGAGTTTTGTTCACGGACAAGTGTTCTTGAGATTGTGAACACTCTCGTCTCCAGTAATGTCACGGTTCAAGGCTGAGTCCGGCATAGAGCTGCGTCATTGATTTGTTTTCAAGCAGTGGCATTTTGGCTGAGCTATTTTTCATTAAAAGTTCAGAGATGCTGAGAAGGGAAACAGAGACATTTTACATCTCATTTGATGCCGCTCAGTATATGATCAGCTCAGTACACTCAGCGCAGACGTACAAAATCAACGTCACATGTGAAGCATTCTGTCTTTTTATAGAGATTTACAGAGAACATGAGAGTCACTAACTATTACTAATCTTGCGTCTTTAGGAATATATTTCAGGACGTGATGCACAAAGACACGCTTGTGAAGTCTTTCATAGATGAGGTAAGTCTGCTTTCTGTCTCCTGAGCTTTATTAAAGCTTCCTCCGCTTTGGCCTTGACAACATGTGTGTGTGTGTGTTGGTCTCTAGGTGTTTCTGTTGAAACCAGGTCTGTCTCTGCGTAGTGTGTATTTGTCCCACTTCCTTCTCCTGTTGCACAGGAAGGCCCTGACGCTGCTCAGATACATTGAGGATGAGACGTGAGTACTGCAGCTTTCAGCGCACATTGTCTACTGTCACTTACAGTTGAAGTCAGAATTATTAGCCCTCCTGAATTATTTGCCCCTGTACATTTTTCCCCACAATCTGTTTAACAGAGTGAAGATTTTTACATATTTATCAACATAATAGTTTTAATAACTCATCTCTAATTACTAATTTATTTTATCTTTGCCATGATGACAGTAAATAATATTTGACTACGTATTTTTCAAGATTCTCAGCTTAAAGTGACATTTATAGACCTAACTTGGTTAACTAGACAAGTAAGGGTAATTAGGCAAGTCGTTGTATGACGATGGTTTGTTTTGATAACAATCGAAAAAAATAATAAATATTTTTATTTTATTAAATATAAATATTAAAGGGGCTAATAATATTGACCCTAAAAATGTTTTTAAAAAATGAAGAACAGCTTTTATTCTAGCCAAAATAAAACAAATAAAACTTTCTCCAAAAGAAAAATATATTTAATATTTTTAAATATTATTATTTTTTTAAATTATAGGAAATTCTATAAAAAAAAATTCTGGTAAACATAATTTGGGAAATACATGAAAAGGAAAATAGGAGGTTTCCCAGTGATGGGTTGCAACTGGAAGGGCATCCACTGCTTAAAACACAAGCTGGATAAGTTGGCGGTTCATTCTGCTGTGGTGACCCCTGATTAATAAAGGGACTAAGCCGAAAAAAAATGATTGAATTATTGAAAAAAAAGAAGGGCTAATAGTTTTGACTTTAACTCTACACTATTTGCTACGCACTCACACATGTTAAAGAAATAGTTCACACAAAAATGTTCACACATAAATTTTGCTCCACTTGTTGCAATCCTGTTTGAGTTTCTTTGTTCTGTTGAATAATAAGACACTCTTAAGATTTTTGGAAACTGATTGCTAATGACTAGTAAAGTGTTTCTCAACACTGTTGATGTCAACAGCTACTGGTTTCCAACATCCTTCAAAATATCTTCTTTTGAGTTCAGAAGAAAAAAAGAAACTCATAAAAGATTAGAACCACCTGAGAGTTCTAATTAAAATTTCTTAGGTGAACTGTACATCACTTAGATTAATAGAATGTTCAAAATCAAAGTATTTATTTAAAACAGAATCATTATAAATGTGTTTGCTTTTACTTTTGATCAATTTAATGCATCTTTACTCAAAGATGTAAGATTTTAAAAAGACCTACTGATACTCATTTTTTAATTATAGTGTTTGCAAAAATAAGTGTGTGAAGTGAGCCTGGTCAAGTATGATTTTACCCATACTCTAAGGCCCAATCCTAATTCTATTTTTGTACCCCTTCCCCTTGCCCTTGGCCCTTGAAACTGAGAGTGAAAGGGAAGGGCTTTAAAATTTACCCTTAATTATTGGGACAGCACTACAGCACCTGCAAACGTCATCATATGTCATCGCAATTTCATGCTTCATATAAGATCAGACGATCATGACTGCTGTAGTGATTCCAGATGTGTTATTTTTTTGGTTTTTATCTTCAGGAAATCACTGAAGGCATATATTATTTCATCATAACGATCTAATGTGGCAAAAAGATCGTAACTGTACTGTGCATTTACACCGTGGCCATATTCATCTATATAAACGCACAAAAACAACATTAACATTGTAGCAGACTCTGTAGCAAGCTCATTCCCAGCCACTAGACTTTTCTGACAGGGTATTCCAGTGTCATGGAGTGTCAGAATGTTGTGGGACTGCTGTACAGGAGTTATTATTATGGATTTTAGATAGTAAAATTTAGCAGTTTTTATTTTAGCGTTTTTTTTTTATTTATTTTTTTTTACGCTTGACAGTAAAACACAAACGCTGTTATGAATATATTGAAACATATGCTTGTTTGTTGTAAAAAATCATAATAATGACAAAAAAATACTAATTTGTGGATATAATTACTTCCGGGTGCTGCTTTGGCTGGTGTATTCTGGGAAATTTTCTTACCCCTTGGTTTTGAGTGTGGTCCTAAAAATCTTTGTTCGAATGGGTATCTACCCCTTGCCCTTAGCCCTACACCTTCAAGCTAAAGAGAATTGGGAAACCCTTAACCCCATCATCGGAGTTCGCAAAACAAAGAATAGGGGTAAGGGCTAAGGGGTAGAATTGGGATTTGGCCTAAATTGGTCCTCTGCTTTTAACCCATCCAAGAGCACACACACATTTTGAGGGAGGAGCAAGAGCACACACGAACTAGGGTTGAGCCATGTCGACCAATTTGACAATATGAAGCATCGCGATAGACGATGGCATCGTCATTAGCGGCGGTGAATTATTTATGAAAAATGTATTAATTCATAACGAATTAATTATTTGTTGCCTACCATTTTAACTACCTAACCCACATGGTCTTTGTTTTACCCAAAACCAAATCATAAATGAATAAAGATAAGTTACACACATAATTACTACCTGTCAATCACTTTTTCTGCGGGACTCATGAATAGGCAGAGTGATCTGTGTCGTTATAATGGCGTTGACAAACTTGGTTGGTAAAAAAGGTGCACTACCAGCAGGAACCAGCCAGCAGTATCTGAGGTTTTCGCTAAAATTACTAAGTACAAGCATGAAAGCGAAAGATTGAACCAGTCTACTGACCCGCTGACTGCCTGGACCTGCTGTCTCCAGCGCATGACAGTGTGTGTGTATAGTCACGTGATGTGCGTTTTCAGCGCTAGTGTGGAAGGAGGGCTGCTCAGACATGCTAGGTGAAACGCCAGAGTGGATGTGGATCATTTTCATTCTAAAATTCCATTTTAAAACTAAGACCTTTTAGTGTAAACAGGGCCTGAATGTGTATTTTTTCACGAGCAGATTTGCAACGGGGGCGGGGCGGAGGATCGCGATGCCGGCTCAGCATCGTGGTGTCTGTCGGCCATCGGCGATGGACGATGGCACCGTCTATCGGCCCAACCCTAACACAAGCACACACACATGCAGTAAGCATACACTCGGAGCAATGGCGGCAAAAACTATAAATTGCGGACAGCTGCTTCTCACTCAGGGCTGACTATGCTAATGAGGGAGAGATCGTCACTAAGGGGTGGGACTTCCCCCCTCCAATGACATGTACAATATGAGAATATCGATCAAAGTGTTTCTGCAGATTGTTTTCATCAAGTGTGATTATAAAAAAAATTGTTAAGTAATTTTTACCATGGCGGTGCGATGGCTGTCCCCTCACAACAGAAGAGGTTGCTGGTTCGAGTCCCGATTGGGCCATTTGCCATTTTTGCCTGGAGTTTGCGTATTCTTACCGTGTTGGCGTGGGTTTCCTTCAGGTGCTCTATTTTCCACCACAGTCCAAAGACGTGCGCTATAGGTGAATTAAATACACTAAATTGGTCATAGTGTATGAGTGTGTGAATGTGAGCGTGTATGGGTGTTTCCCAGTATTGGGTTGCGGCTGGAAGGGCATTTCCTGCATAAAACATATGCTGGATAATGTGGCGGTTCATTCCACTGTGGCGACCCCTGATGAATAAAAGGGACTAAGCCAAAGGAAAATGAATGAATGAAATTGGCATAGTGTATAAGAGTGTGTGTGAATGTGAGCATGTATAGGTGTTTCTCAGTACTGGGATCCAGCTCGAATGGTATCTACTGCGTAAACGCTTATCCTGAAGTAGTTGGCAGTTCATTTCGCTGTGGCGACCCCTGATAAATAAGGGACTAAGCCGAAGGAAAATAAATGAATGAATGAATGAGTGTTTACTATTAGAGGCTGGTTATATTTAGACACTGTTGTCGCACAGCTGTGTTAAAGCCTTTATGAAAGGATTTTTTGCATAATAGGTTGCCTTTCAAACAAAAAAGCCCCTAATTACGGACATTTTTGCCACAAACCTCTGTTAATTTCAAACCCGGGCCTCGATGTTTATCAGCAGCAGAGCATTCACAGGTAAAACAGTTTGACATCATTAGAAAACAGTAAGAAAAGGAAGCAGGGAGCATTCATCATGATTATCTTGTCAAAATTCAGTCACCCTGATTGTTTCATATTGATCATCATTGATTACAGGCAGAAGGGGAAGAAGCCTTTCAGATCTCTGCGCAATCTGAAAACCGATTTGGACCTGACGGTGGAGGGCGACTTGAATATCATCATGGCGATGGCGGAGAAGCTGCGGGCCGGCCTTCACTCTTTTGTTTTCGGGAAGTCTTTCCTGACCAGCGTGCAGGAGCGCGACCTCCTCATCAACTTCTGACCTCTGAACCTAGTGTTTAACACACCACCACATGCTGCACACTCTTGCGTCTTGATGTTTTATTTGAAGTATATTTATATGTGCTCTTTGTTTACAGCATTCTGCACTGTGCCTGCTGCTGAAATGCCAATTTGTGCAATTTTTGCTTTAGAATAATGACCTGCTAAATGATGAAACTGATATTTGTGGTCTTGAGGTTTATGAATGAATCTGTGGGTTGTGCAAATGGTGCTTTGAAATCACAGTTAACGGCTTGTTGACTAATAGCAAGGGCCACACAGAATCTGCAGAATTTTTTTGCTGTTTCTGCGCAGAATTTTGTAGATAATCTGCAGATTTATGCGGAATGACTTTGGGAGTATCATAATTACAAACTTAATTCATGAAATGAAAATTAATATATTTTTAACTTGTATTTGATGTTTACAATGCAAATCCAACTAGATTCACTTATACATTGGTAAACAAAGCAAGTCTCTTTGAAAGACAGAACATATTCCTTTACACACTATTGGAAATAAATAATATAAACATTTTCATCTTAGTAAATATTATTACTGAAACTAATTTAAAAACTGAATAAATACACAGTATATTTACACACATTTACACAAGTAAATAAATGACAGATCTCTCGATCAGTATCGAGTACCCGATACTAGAGTATCTACCGATACCCAATCAAATACCGATATAATACATTAAAAAAAGAATAAAGAGTTAAGAAACAGATTCAAGATGGTCCTTTTTTTTTTTATTAACCTTATTTTAGTTCAACAAATCTGTTAATAAACAGAGCACTTCTGTGAGGTAGCTTGAGCAGACAAGTAATAAAAAATAGTAAATATAAAAAAAATCTAATATAAAAACAAATAGCACCTCAACTTAAAATACTCGACAGAAAATCCCAAGTTTACATATCTGACAGTTTGTTATGACAATGCTGTCGTCATCAACTTTATAATACCTCCACACTGCAGAAATACTCGCTCTTTTCGTGTTTCTATGTTCTGCTTTGCCCACATTTAACCAATAGCATCTCTGCAACAAAGTGATGTTATGCTGCACGCGTTGCTGTTTTTGTGTGAAGACCACCGCATAACTATAGATGTGTTAAAAATCATTAGAACAAACCTCTAAATGCCATCTAGAATTATCTTCTACAATGAGAATTTTTCTCTGCTTATGTTTGTGTTCAGTTATTTCATGGTAAAATTGTAAAATTAAAGTAAAAAGTAAAAGCCATAAAAGTAAAATTACTCAATCAAGAAATAGGATTTTAGAAGAAAACTTCAAATGGCATATTTCAACTTTTCAAATGGTTTTTGCATCTGTACTCTTGATATATATATATAATGTCTGATTCTGAACAAGTCTGAAACTGTGTGATCGGGTATGGTCTGAAAAATCTGCAGATTTCTGTGTGTGCCTACTAATAGCTAACTAACATTATGTTCCTTCACTTGTAATATGAACTGACAATGTGTAACATGGCGAAGATCAAAACTAAAGTCCATTTAATCTCATTTGGTCTTGGATTTAGGAGACACTTCACCCCAAAAATGTTATGTTTACTCACCATCACATGGTTACAAACCTTTATGGGTTTATTTTCTAAACACAAAAGATGATGGGACAAAGGAAACTGGTTGACATTGACATCCACTGTAGAAGATAAAACATTGTGAAAGTCAATAGCTACCAGTTAACATTCTTCAAAATATCTTCTTTTATGTTCCACGTTAACATTTTGAACAAGTGTGCACTGTAAAAAAAAAAAAAGAAATTCCACACAATTGCTTCATGTTGTCCCGACTCAAATTGATTAAGTTGGCTTTAGTTTTTAGTAGACTAGGTTCTTTTCGGCTTAGTGTCTTTATCAATCTGGGGTCTTCACAGCAGAATCAACCATCAACTTATTCAGCATATGTTTTATGCTGCGCATGCCCTTCCAGCTGCAACCCATCACAGGGAAAATCCATACGCACTCATTCACACACATACACTACGGTCAATTTAGCTTACCCAATTCACCTGTACCGCATGTCTTTAAACTTGTGGGGGAAACCGGAGCACCCGGAGGAAACCCACGTGATTACGGGGAGAACATGCAAACTCCACACAGAAATGCCAACTGACCCAGCTGAGTCTTGAACCAGCAATCTTCTTGCTGTAATGCGATCGTGCTACCCATTGCACCATTGTGATGCCCCTATGTTGATTTAAATGTTTTTCGCAAATTTAAGTGGATTGAACTTACAACAATTAAGTTGTCTGAAAAACCTCAAGAATTGTGTTGATTCAACTGATTTTTGGAGTGTAGAGTAAGTAAATGAGGGCAGATTTTTTTATTTTTGCTTGAACAAGCCCTTTAACGGTCCTTCAGTTTTAAATTAAAACACAATACAGTTATTTATAGTGCGCTTTAATTGAAGTAACCTTTCCTTTGTAATAACGTTTCCCATTTGTCTGTGATCGTCTGACTGAATTCACATGGCAGGTCTGTTATTTCACAGAAGCCCATCTGTGGCTGCCAGACTTTTCTTTGTTCTTTAAGTGGACTTGAATAAACTAAATTAGCAGTTAATTAGATGTCTTATACTTTTTAGTGTGTGTCTGGCTTGGGGCGCGAACATAAGAAAGCTGGTGGGATTGTGGGAAAAGCAAAGTGCAACTTAACTCAGTATATTTAAATAAGGACAAATCTCTGGTGTCCAATGTTAAAGGAAGTCAGCAAATAACAGGAAAAGCCCCATAGTAATCTTGCTTTCATTTTAAAGTGTTCACACACAAGTGTTACATAACTTCAGTATGCTTTAAATCAAACAGGCAGTGGAGGTTAATGTCAACTCCAAATGTCTAATGTGTTGACATAAATGTGATTCTGAATATTTTGGAATGTTTATGAAATCATAATATGGGGCTTACTTTAAACTGTGTTATGTATATTGGTACTTTTCCAAATGCAAATGTGTTGTCTAAATAAAGTGTGCCTTTTGTTTGTGAAACTGAGCTTTTTTCTTTTCCAAAAGAAGCATAAAACTGATGTGTATATTGGGTTTATTATTTGATTAAAACTTCACATGGTTCTTCATATAGTATTTGTAAGCAATCTTAGAAATATAATGTTCTTTTTTATATGTATAATACTGTATTTATGTATTAAATGTCTTTAAAAAAAAAAATTAATTTCAAAAACTAAGTTTTAGGCCTTAAATTTTGGGCCTTAAAAAGTCTTAAATTCACTGAAATATTGTGTTTAAATCATTTTAAACAGGTCTTAATTTTGCTCTTTCCAAGTAGAGCTACCCAATCGGGCTGACCAACAGTCCATCTTAATACAATCAGGAAAAGAAAACTAAAAACAATGAGAGTTACATTCACTCATGCATTCATTTTCAACTGCTTTTTTCGGGACCGGGTCGTGGGGGCAGCAGTCTAAAGACAAAACCCCAGACTTCCTCTCCCCAGACACTTTCTCCAGCTCCTCCGGGGGGGGATGCAGTGGCGTTATCAGGCCAATCAAGAGACTTAGTCCCTCCAGCGTGTCCTGGGTCTTCCCTGTGGCATCCTTCCAGTGGGACATGCCTAGAACACCGCCCTAGGTAGGCATCCAGGAGGCATCCGAAACAGATGCCCGAGCCACCTCAGCAGACTTCCGTCAATGTGGAGAAGCAACAGTTCTTCTCTGAGCTCCTCCCGGATGACAGAGCGGTCAGGGTGCATCTTGCCACCCTGCGAAGGAAACTCATTTTGGCCGTCTGTGTCCGAGATCTTTTCCTTTCAGTCATGACCCAAAGCTCTTGACCAAAGGTGAGAGTAGGAATGTAGATTGAACGGTCAATCAAGAGCTTTGCCTTTTGGCTCAGCTCCTTCTTTACTACAACGGACCGGTACATTGACCGCATTACTACTGCCGCTGCACCAATTCGCCTGTCAATCTCACGTTCCATCCTTCCCTCACTCCTGAACAAAACCCTAACATACTTGAACTCCTCCACCTGGGGTAAAGACTTAAGGACTTTCCTCCAAACTGGAGATGGCAAACCACCTTTTTCTGGTGGAGAGTTATGGCCTCGGATTTGGAGGTGCTGATTCTCATTCCAGCCACGTCACACTCGGCAGCAAACCGCCTCAGTGCATACTGAAAGTCCATGTTTGATGAAGCCAACAGAACAAAATTGTCTGCGAATAACAGTGATCAGATCCTGTGGTCCCCAAACCAGATCCTCTCCAGCCCAAGGCTGTTCTTTGAAATTCTGTCCATGAAAATTATGAACAATAAACAGTTCCTCATGATAATAACAGAGCAATTTATCCCTTTACGTTATTTTCCATTCATAGAAAAACTGTTTACAGAAGTAATGGCGAGTGGTCATAATATTTATAAAAAGAAATGAAACTTAATGTTTTAGAACAAATGCTTTAGGTTGAATGGAGTTTATACTCAATCTATTTGGACCAAAAACTAACAAATATGTTCATTCATTCATTCATTTTCTTTTCGGCTTAGTCCCTTTATTAATCTGGGGTCACCACAGCTGAATAAACCGGCAGCGGATGCCCTTGCAGCTGCAACCCATCACTGGAAAACATCCACACACACACTCATTAACATTCATATACTACAAACACTTTAGCTTACCCAATTCACCTGTATCGCATGTCTTTTGACTGTGGGGGAAACCAGAGCACCCAGAGGAAACCCACGCGGACACAGGGAGAACATGCAAACTCCACACAGAAACACCAACTGATCCAGCCGAGGCTCTAACCAGCAACCTTCTTGCTGGGAGGCGACAGCACTACCAACTGCGCCACTGCTTCGCCTGCAACAAATATATATTTGTGACTATTTATGTAATTGCTTCCACAAAAAAATATATTTTAAGCAATGTTAAACTTGTCATTTAAAAAAAGAATACATATTAAGTTGAAAACAATGTATACAACTAGAGTTTTCTTATTTTGACACATTCAAGTATGTCGCTCAGAAATAATTACATTTAGAATTTTTTTGTGGCAAGCATTAGAAAAAATCATTAGTGTTTAACCCTGCATAAGTCAAAAATTTCATTCATAACAGTCTTAAAAAGTCTTAAATTTGTCTCGATGAAACTTGCAGAAACCCTGTTATTTACACATTCATTTTAATCTAATACAAATACAAAAATACAAAA